ACAAATTCCTCATTTGTAGACTTTATCAACTTTAAATTAGCCTCCAAAGGTGTTTTAATAGGCTTATACTCTTACATATTGAATTATTTCAATACTTCTTTAATGTACTTGCTTTCATTCATTGTAATGGTCTTCTTAGTACGATTTCTTACAAACTCTACTGCTAAATAATAGTGAAGCTTATCCAAATTACTCATTTCATATTTTTTTTCTAACTTTTCTTTCAATCAATTTATCATCTTTAAAGTATTGGTTAAGATGATCAAATCATCAACATAAAGGATGACAATCAATAAGAATCTATTTGATTGCATCACATATATAGAATGATTAACCTTACTTCTTACAAATCCTTCATTCACAAAAAATTTATTGATATGTTGGTACCATGCTCTTGGTGATTACTTGAGCCCATATAAAGATTTTTTCAACTTATAAAAAAGATGTTATTTGCCTTCTTGAACAAATTCTTGAGATTGATCCATGTAAATATCTTCTTTCAAATTTATATTCAAGAAAGCCATTTTCACATCCATTTGATGTATTTTCAAGTCTATTGATGCTCCAATTACCATAATAATTCTAATTGTGGTAAATTTGGCCACAAGAACAAATGTTTCATTGAAATCAACACCAATAATTTGTGAATAGTCTTTGGCAACCAATCTAGCCTTGTATTATATAATATTAACCATTACATTCTTTTTGATTCTATATATTTATTTACAACCAATTAAAGATTGATTTACTAGAAGTTGAATCAATTGCCATTTTCTATTATCCATGAGTAATTTGAATTCTTCTTTCATAGCCTTTTCTTACTTCATTATATTATACAAATTCAATTGATCAGTAAAGCCTGCAATATTGGTATGTTCTTTACTTACTTAAAAAAAGATGTGGTTCTTCTATTATTCATCAATTTTTTTCTCTCATAAGACATTTTCTTTTACGTGATGAAGATTCACCTTCATGTACTCCAAAGTTTCTTGCAAGCTTATTCTTTCTTAAAGTTTTTTTTATTTATTCAAAGATTGATATTTCTCATCATCATCATCCTTATTATCTTCATTGTCTTCATTATTGATTCTAACAACTGTAGACACACTTTGATCTATCTTTATTGGTTCTTCATCTTAATTTGTAATTCTATTATTTTCATTGTCATCATCTTATTTTTTATTCTTTTTTGAAATTAAAGATATATCCACAAACACACCATTACACTTACTTGCACATATCTTCAAGTATTGATAAGTATTATTATACTCCAAAAACTCTACATGACAACTCTTGATGATTTTGGTTTTTAAACATGTTAAAGTATATGTCTTAGTACTTTTACAATATTCAAAAAATATATATTTTTTACCTATACATCAAATTTGGATCTCATACAATCTAGTACCTTTGCATAAGCAATACATTTAAAAATCCTCATATATGAAGCATTAGGTTTCTTATTACTTCAAGCTTTTTGTGGAGTCATTGATGTGAGTGCATTTGTGAGGCACCTATTTTTTGTATACACTACATTTATCATGTTTTTTATCCAATATGCATGTCCAAAGTTTTAAACATGAAGCATACTCCTTGCTATATCTAAAATAACATAATTTGTTCTTTTACCAACTCTATTTTATTGTGGAGTATAAAGAGTAGAAGTTTGTCTTATAATGCCTTGAATCTTCAAAAAATCATCAAAATACTTTGACATATACTCACTTCCATTGTCTATATACAACACTTTGATCTTGTACTTACATTGTTTCTTCATAAGCGCCTTAAATTCGTTAGACCTTCACAAACACTCATTCTTAGTTTTAAGGATATAAATCCATATTTTTCTTTAAAATTTTATCAATAAATATAACAAAGTACCTTGTAATTTTAATTAATAGCATCTTCATTAGTCTACAAATATTAGAATATACAATCTCTAATAATTTGCTAACACATGTTTTAACTTCTTAAAGAAATAAAGTCCTTTGTTGTTTGCCTTTGATACAATCTTCATAAGCAAGTATCATAGCATTGTAGCTAAATTATCCAAGATCCAAGCCACTTACCATGGATTGTAGATTCTTCATGCTTTTGTCATTCAAATAATCAAGTCATTGATGCCAAATTTCAAACTTATCTTGATCTTGTGAAAATTCAGCAAATAGTATCACTTCAATTTCATTCACCTTCTTACAATTGATGAAGTAGAAGTTGCCATTCGTAAAGCCTTTGGAAATATCTTATCCATCCAATGTCTTCATAAAACATCCATTTATGTCAAATTAAACCTTACAACCATGTAATATAAGTTTGCTCACCAAAAAAAGGTTCTTCATCTTTGATATATGTAAGACTTTCTTCAATCTAATATTCTTAATTTAATCTTTAATAACAATCTCTACTATAATGAAGCCAATTTCTATGGCTTGTACCATGTCATTGTCTCCCAACCAAACTTTTGTTACTAAAATTATTTCATAAAAGTTAAATGAATACTTGTATGGTGTCATGTGCTTAGTAGTATCCAAATCTATAATCCACTTAGACATGGCAGCTATGGAGGCTCTTTTATTTGCCATAAAAGATTAATCATACCTACCAAAGTTTTCATGAATATTGTTTGCATTCTTCTTATCTCTTTTCTTAGCTTTGTAGTAATTTCTTAGAAAATAACTTGATTTGTTACAAATATAGTAATTTTTCATATTGATTTTTAAATTATCACTTTGATGAAGATAGGTACTTTTGTTTTATCTTAAAAATAGAGCCAAATCATCAATTTAAAGCTTCTTTTCTTTCTTCTTGCTAACTTTATAGGCTTTATAGGCTAACATTATATAATTCATAATAAGCTTCTTCATATTCATATACTTCAATGCAATAATAAGATACTTATGGAACTCTAAAAGTCTTATGAACGATGTCAATATAATATCCTTGTCATCAACTAGCTTGTCAATAATTGTAAGTTGGTTTGCAAGTGCTTTTATCTTATTGATATAAGCCATAAAGTCATATCCTTCTTCTATTTTTACTATTAAGAACTTCTTCTTTGTTCATAGAATGTTGATAAGATGTCTACTCTTGTAGATATTACAAAGAGACTTCTATGCTTCCATTAGTCGATTGCAAGCAATTACATGTGAAAAATTGGTATCATTAAGATTTTTTGCAATCAATCCAAAAGCTTTTTTTTTACAATGTTTGTAATACTTTTTCACCTTAACATCAATATCATTGCTTGGATGACCTTCACTTTCACCAATAATGTCCTAAAGATCCAATAAAGCCAAAAAAAAAGCTCTATTTTCTTCTTCTTGTGGTAAAAATTATAACCTCTAAATTTCTCAATTATTTTCAAGCCCTCACATTTACTTGAAGTCATATTTAAAGAAGAGGTGTATTAAAGAAAAAATAAAGAAAAGATAAGATAGAACTCTCAAAATCAAAATAAAGATATTGCTACCTCAGAAATCCAAAATGCCTTCTTTGTAAGTAAACTAATGATTTCACTCTTTAATCACTTTCAACTTCATTTATAAGACTTCTTACAAATCTTATATTCTATCTTAACCTCCTTCATAAGCTTTACCACTCTTTAATCACCTCTAATCTCACAAAATAACTCTTATTACTATAAGAAGATCTTTTAAGAACTTCAATACATAAAAGTACAATGTTAGTGCATTAATATTATGTTCTAAAATATCATTTTAAGGTATCTATCAATCTCTTAGACCATAAATGCACTTAAAAACAAATAAGAGCAAAATTACATCAATAATTAAATGCAAAAGTAATGTTAGAAGATACCAAATTCTAACATCAGCAACAACCATAAGATCTAGTCCTCACAATAAGAAAGACTTCAAAGAAATTCACAATCCATAACTAAAAAAGAGCGGGCCTCATAACATATTAAAGAAAAAGAATTTTGAAGTTACAATACATAACATTAGCAAAGTTATAGATAAAAAAAAATATAAAGTAAGATAACTCTCACTTCTATTACTTATTACTTATAGGTGGTGGTTGCTGCCTTCATGGACAACTTTCATCATTTGATGAATACATCTATCTAACATTCTACCAAGACCATCCATTGATATCCTATCTACTATGAGAGTATGCATTTAGTATATCTACTATATCCTTAAGATTCTTTGTCGATTTATCTACTTTGTCAATTGGCCTTCTTGTATACCAAGAGCTAATCCTTAGACCATTAAGAACTTATCTAAGGTAATATCTTCTACAAAATAACTTATTCTACTTTCATTTTATTTATTTATTTTAATATATGGCACTTGCAAGTCAAATATCCATAATATGTGTTATAGCACACAAAGTCAAGATTCAGAAAGACAAATCTACCATTGTGATAGAAGAAGATGATAGAAATTGATTCAGAAAGACAAATCTACCATTGTGATAGAAATTAATTGTTAAGCTTGTGGCTTCAATTTCTTATATAAGCTATATATTTTTCAATTCTTCTGCAACAGAAACAAACCAAGAATTTGTTCATTTTTCTTAATCATGCTTTAACCTTTGATTTTTGTGATTGTAGAGCTGAATGATATAAAGTATGAAACAAGTCGGGTGAAGGATGTCAATCAAGACGGTAGGCTAGTTCGACACTCACCTTCTTTGGAATAAAAATACAGAACTATACATCATTGAAAGTCTAGGTTTGAGCGCTTATCCTCTACATTCTACATTGCAACTAGAAGTGCATGGGTAGCTATTAATTCCTTGAGAAAAGATTTGAGCAAGCAGGACACAAGGGAGATTGAGACAAAGGAGAAAGATTGAGAACAAGGACGGAGGCTAGGAATGTGGAAATGGGAGGAATAAGGACAAGGATGCAATAATTCTTCGTAAATATGGGATTTAGTAAAAAATTTGGTGGCTTTAATATTCCCTCTAAAATATTGTATATGTTTCAATAAATTATAGATAACAACTGATACAGGTGAACAGTCCACAAAGAGAAGTAGTCTGAAATGGATTGCCCACTTTAGACATGCAAACTATCCATTGTCAAAGTTGGCTCACAAAACAACAATGCAAATGAAATTGTTCATTCTCCAATGATTCCTCAACATTGGTGCTTGAATTTGCATTGTTGAAGAATCATTGCCTGAATTGGCTTCACTAAAAGTCAAATTAACAAGGCTTCAGTTGAAAACCTACGAACGCTACTCTCTTTCGGTAGATCAAATTTCCAGTCTAGTAGTCCACGAATCTTGGGATTGCGCTTGTCCAAAAACTGGGTGTGAAGAAACATTGAAAAGGATGGCCTACAAGGTGCAGAAAGCAACGGGTTGCCTCCTTGCAGCTAGAATCATAAAAGAGGTGACACATACAATGTCTTTCTCACACTAGAAATTTAATGCCTACATAGTATTTACGTCTAAACATTTGCTTGTTTCACAACTTCTGTAGGGCTTGTTCCTCATATTGCTTCTTGTACTTTTCAAACGCTTCATCGTTGGTACTGCATATTGTCAAGCACAATGGACCGAAATTTAGAACAATTCTAAAAAAGGTCGGGTGGTCTCAGCGGATAGTGAAAACTAAGAAATATTGTTAGCCGGGATAGCAGGAGATGGTACTAAACTGGTGGCTTTAAACGACTTCGCTAATGAGCGATGGCAAGATGTTTCTTCCACAATGTGACTTTATTTTTATTGATTCTTATTTTGTTTGTGAGGGACCAGGCCTGGCGACATTACAGAAGAATACACACTCATCACTAGAAGGGTTTGAATGGGAGAGGTTGCAAAAACTTACTATCTATGAAGACAAGCATTAGTTTCTTTCGATTGAGCACGACACGCCCAAACAACAGAAAATAACCTCCCTTTGGCACATTCCGCGAACTTGGCGACGAGAGGGTCGCACTCTTTAAGCGCTTGCGCTTTCATCTTGCTGCGAAGGGCTAGACCAAAGATTATCAAAACGCTGATAATCAGTCTAACAGTGTCGCTTTGAAACAGAAATTGCAGCTCTTCATTTTTCGCCAAACCCAACAAAATTCGATAACCACTTCATGCTTCATGCTCTCAGGGACAATTAGTACTGATCTTGGAGGGCTCGAAGTAAATGCAAATAGGAAGCATAGAGGCAGTCGCAAAGGAAAAAGAAGAAGAATAAGAAAAATAAGATTAAACAGGATAAGAAAAAACAAGGGTTGCTATTAGAAAAAGAGAATTAGCGACATGCCCCCCACAACTCTCGTCTAGTACGAGATTCAAAGTTTAGGGTATAAAACACCGCAACAATCCATCGGAAATCCATATACAGTTTCACAATATTTGATTGTAAACGCTACGCATCGAGAAAAAGAGAAAACGAATTTCCATTCACACATGCGAGACCTCAACAATACAATCAGATTTACCTATATATCAATATACATACATACATATATATATATATATATATATATATATAAATTCACACACACACACACACACATTTACATACACATCTCAAAAACCCGGAAAATTCTCCAACACGAAGACGAGACAAAGGACGCGATACACACGATGAACTCCAACGCAACGATTGACAACACGAAACCAAAACCTCCGCACTCGAAAAGCGTACCTTCTTCCACCTTCTTCTTCATGCGAGACTGAGCGGCATCCTCCCGAATCCCCATTGCTCTCCGCCAATTGCCCTAAAATTTTATAAAAACAAAAAAACAAAAAAAAAAACAACAAAAATAGCTGCTCCGGAACGCAGAACAAGGGCACCAAATCACGAGCTGCACTTCACCGGAACCACGATCGATCGATCGATGTGCGGGGCCCTCTCTCTCTGCACTTCGGCGCTTGCTCGGCGAGTGAACAACTCGGGATTAGGGCACGGTCTCCGTTGGCGTGGTTATAGATGTTGAAAAGCGATGAAATATTCTGGGAATCACGGGTATGGGGTCTTTTGCTTGTTCTCTTCGCGTGTGGGTGTTGAAAGAGGGTAAAGAGAAAAATAAAATAAACTAAAATAAAATCTTATTATTTTTTTGTTTTAGCCTTACACATATTATTAATTGGATAAGTTTGTTGATTTTAAAATGGTCTCACAAAAATTGAAGTATTTAAAATATAAGAGAGTGTAATTAAATATTGGGCAAAAAGTATAAAAGATTTTAAATACGATAGATTATTTTTTAATCATTTCTATTACTACAAATAAAAGTACAAAAAATCTATGCAATAGATATATAATATAAAAAATAAAAAATCTGATTTTAAAAAATATATATAACGAAAAAAATAATAAATAAATAAATTATCGCAACAGCAACAGAAAATTGGATGTCGTATTTACTTGCAATAATTCAATTCCTTAGTGTAGAACAAAGCTCACAAAATATAATTTAAAAATTATGTATTATAAAGAATAAATTTAAGTTGTTTTTATTTTTTTAACAATATAATAAAAATAACTTTTATAATTAAAAAATTAACTAATCACCCGCATTTACTGTCGATTATGATTTTTAATGTGTTTATGTTTACAAAAAAAAGCTTTTAAACACCATCTTTTTTTAGTTGTGTATGGTCTAATTTAGAAATTAAAAAATCAAAAAATCAAAGTTATATCAAGTAAGCGTAACATTTATTATTTACAATCTTTTTTGACAAAAGAATCTTCATATAATTGTATTTGATCCATTGTACAATTTTTCTTGTATATTTTTTTATATATCAGAGAATTAGAAGCTCAAGTAGAATAAAAATATGTACACAATAGGTAGTTGTATATAATTTTGTAAAAACATATAATTTTTAATACAATATGGAACTAATGCATCTCAACATACAACATAAAAGAAAGTAGAGAGTATTTTATTATAAGTGCTTCCACAAATAATTTCCAAAATATCTGTATAATATGATATCGTTGCTCTAAAATGATATTTTAAAAGGAAATGTTCACACAATCTAAATAACAATTTTGAAACCATAGAATACAAATGGATGAGGAGATAATAAATATGGTAAGAATCATACTTTAATATCAAAACTAATCATGTTTTTAGGGGTTGGTGTGTGGGGGTGTTCCTTTAGAAGTACCCTTCTTCAATTGATGGATTTGCAACATTTAATTAACTGAAAACAAAGCATCAATTTCTGAAGTTTGTATAAGAAGGAATGATACAAAAATAAATAGTATTTTTTTAAGGTAGATTCAAATTTAGAATAAATTTTGAATCCTACTTTTGTGGATGAATTCAAAAAATTATTTTAGTCTCCACATTATCTCAAAAAAACAATTTTCAAGTTTGGTAAATTTTATTGATCTGAAATCTTGCAAACATGCTATATAAAGATCGTTTCTCAATATCAAATTATCGCTTTTATTTTTGTTCTATAAAACTGTTGTAATTTTTTAAAATCTTAGCATCGAAAAATTCACTATAATATCAAACATTAAATTCTAAAAACATTAATGATTTTTGAGGTTAATATATAATGTGGTAATTTTTAGAAATTTTTAAATAGTTGGTATGTTTATTCCTTAAACCCAATTCATATTTAGCTAACAATTTTGAAGACAAAACCAAGGGATTCACTGACGACACTCTAAAAGAAAAAAAAATCACAGAGGTGACCCAATGCAATGCTGAATCATATTTTCATTGAGAACTAACAAACTCCGAAATCAATCAGACTGTGGTGACAGGGTACGTCACTACAAGCGTTTTGACCTCAGTTTCCGAAGTCCATAAAAGATGAAACATTTGTTACAACGATGTTTTAGATTCACTAGATATCCACACTCACAAACATATGACGATTCGTATAACCGATCTCTCCGTCTTATTCTGCGTTGAAAATATACAAGTTTCCGAAGGCACAGCTGGTGATCATTATTCCAACTTTAAGTTGAGGCCTGAAGACCGATTATTCCTGCAACAACAGAAAATTGCAATCATCAAAACTTGTATCAAGATCAATCAACATTTCCGAATCTTAATTTGATGCCGATATTTCTCTTGGCACATAATCAGTGTAGAATTCCCCTGTAATGTACAAAAGAACGTTTGAAGAGGTTCAAACACCCACCGCAAGCAATTCGGCCACCGGCGTTTCCAGTAGACTTGCTCAACTCGTGTCCACCTGGAAGCCACAACACATCAAACAGGACCATACAAATGAACGTCTTGGAACTTGAAGTCTTAGTATACACAAGATCTGTCAGCGGGATTTCAAGTATCGATAGAAATCTGCAGCCTGCCTAAGTTTGACTAGAATCAAATCCTACTCCCACACTGAAATCTTCTCATCATACACGTTCAACCCACCTTTTCCGAGATCATCAGGGTCGGCGTGAACGACAACAGCACGGCCAATGATTGAGTCTGCACCGGTCAAAGGAATCTGCACAGAAATGGTTGCACAGAAATTCAAGCGTTGAGATCAAATGACACGTAGAGAAGCACACAGTATCCTCTAATTAACAGATCAGAACCGAGAAAGGATGGCAGCCGATCAAAACGGTGCGGGATTGCTGAAGTAGTACCTGGAAATCTTTCAAAGAGACTTTAGCTACACCTGAGACATACATTTAAGAAACAAAATTAAAACCGCAACTCAAAATCCAAACTCTTCCAATCACGAAGTGACTAGAACTGTGATTACCGCATGACACTTGAGATGTAACGATAGAAAAGAAATAATCATATTCCAAAAGTAACTAAAGCTTGTACACATGAAAGATATCAAGAACATCAAATCTGAAGCAGGAAATTTTCAAACCTAAATCTCAAGCAGCAGCCTTACCATCATCACCGGCAATAACATTCCCCAGGTCTCCTGCATGACGAACTTCATCTTCAGGAGCACCATGCTCAAAACCCTTTGGGTTGAAATGAGGACCTGCGTTCAAATAAGGTCAATTAAAAGCAAATTCTTCACCACGAACGAATACAAGACTAAGCATGACGAAGAGCCAGGTTATATATACAAAAAGTATATATGCATTCACTATTCTCAAAGAGCAATGAGTCAAATGACGCACCAGTTGACATGCAGCCATTGGTTGTATCCCCCAACGCATGGACGTGGAATCCATGTTTGCCAGGATTCAATCCCTTAATTTCTCCCTCCACAGTCGTGTATCCTGTCAGGACATTACTGTTTAAGTTACAAGATCATCGCAACTGAGTCACGACCACTACGGATCAGCGTATTCACAAGCACAGTGCGCAAAACCCTAACAAAGCAACTTCAGAAAAAGACTGGCTTTAGCCAACAAAGAAAGACCTCAGGAGATCTACGAAATGCACGACGCTGGTGCATGAAGCCTCGGTCAGAAACAAACAAAACAAGTACATCCTACCCTTGTAGCAGCAGTTAGGTTGTGAGGTCAACGATATTCTAGAGGTCAAAAATAGTGGGCTGACCCTTGACCTCACAAGAGACTGATTAAGTGGATGAGCATTTACGACGTACTGTCATCTGACTATCCGTAGTAAGTAGATTAGGGGACGATCCTTTTCAGATAGCGAAGAAAAGGATTAAAAATTTTCTCTACAAAACAAAGTCATTCGCCCGATCCAGTCTAAGATAAATTACACATCGAAGATTATCAACTGTCTCCTGATAAACACCAAATTTAAACACCTTATGTTTGCATCGCTTCTCAAGGCGCCATACGTTACGAATCAATCGCCAGACAAAAAAACGACAATCACAAGTAGTATCAGACTCGTATCAAAGACTTCCCACAACTACGCGACACATCAAGCTAAAGGACGACGCACAACAAGGAACTACGTCACAGTAACATCTGCCAAAAGCAACAAATGGCATTCTCGACGCTGCACAAACTCTTAAAAACCTTCAGACCATACTATGTCCAGTCAAGCATTACGATCTGGCATACATGCAGTGATCGAGCCAAGAGCCTAAGCCAGACACCTTGCCATGCCCCAACCAAGCTAGAAACAAAAATAATCCTGAAGAAAATCCCAAATGTAGCAGAGAGACCAAATACCAAAACCTATAGACGCGCACTGCACCCATCAAACCCTCAAACAAGAAAGCAAACTCCAGAGACTAAACCCTAAAAACGCATGCCATTTTCCATACGATAAACCCCACAACCAAGCACACGCTCCATACAGCCAACGAAACGAACACTTTGAGAATATGCACTTTCTGATGCGCAAAAACGACTCTTTCAGCTCTGAGTCGATACCAAACCTGACAACGATTAAACAACTAATCATCCGTGAGCCTGCCAGGAGAACCTTCCAAAACCCAACTCCAAAACTCAATGTGAACAGCTTTAAATTATGCTTAACTCCATAAACTATCACATGGGGAGGAAGAGAATCCGAGAGGACAGGAAAAGACGAGACGAGACGAGGGCAGCCATACCAGAGCCCTCGTCCACGAAAGAGATGACTCCGGAGACGTTGCTGGAGGGACTAGTGAGCACGCAAACGGCTTTGGTAGGAGCCATAACTTGGAACACACACACACAGTAGAGTTTGGTGAGATGGGACGACGATAGAATGGAGGAGAAACACCGCGCAGCATGGAGAAAAGAGCAATTTATGAAGGCTTTGTAAAGCTGCGAGGTCATTCAGGAAGCAGGCTACGAAGCAGGATTGTGGTGGTGGCTGTGGTAGGCCTGGCTTTCTGGACGGGCCAGGGCCGGGTCGGGTATTGGCTCGGGTATTCGTTCGGCCCGGCCCAGCCCGGCCTTCCCAAGCAGGGACGGGTCGGGTGCCGATGATGAGGGGGGAAGTGGTCGCTCGACCCGACCCGGGATGACCCTTACGATTGTCTCTTAGGGTGTACGATTTATTACAAGTTATTTCTTTTTGCCTAAATATTTCGAAAATTTTAAAATAATTTTATTTTTATATTTAAATAAATTTTTTATTTATTAATCATAAAATAAATAATAATATAATATATTATAGTCCTACAATATTTAGATTCAATTCTCAACTATGAAATATAAATTATTAGAATTTAAATATAAAGAACATAATAATGAATATATTTATTTTTTAATGTGATAACTAAAAAATTTATTTCCTTAAAAATAACACTAATTTATTACTGTAGGTTTAATTTTTTAATTTTTAAAATTATTTAATTAATTTTAAAAAAAGAGAAATATTTTTAAAATATTTTTCATAGATAATATATGTGTTTAAATTTTAAAATATTTTTATATGGATATTTGATAATAGATTCCATATGAAATATTTTTAAATATTTTTTTATATAATTTTTATGTCATGAGAAATTATTACTTAATCTAATTATAAATTTCATCTCAACTAAATTTATTAAATTCAAATTCATATAGAAAAAATAAGTTTTTAATTCATATTATTTTAATATTTTAAATGTTTAAATAGTATTAGAAAATTTAAAGTACATAAAATTATTATTTTAAGTTTGTGTTATTATATAAATAGGAAAAATAAAATATTTTAAAGCTTTATCCTAGTACTCAATGTCTTAAATTTTTACTGTATGTATTAAATTTGATTGTATGACCTCACGAAAGTTATATTTCAGTTACAATCATTTTGGAATCTTCAAGTTAATTTTTGTTATTATTATATTTAATTTATATGGATTTCTTAGTCTAAAGAGAATTATTTTATACCAAAATGAAAGATAAAGAAAATGTAAATTTTCAACAACAATTATCTAATAAGATTAAATTAATTAATATCAATAATTTATATAAAAATTTAAAAGACAAGTATCTATATATATATATATATATATACACACATATACATATACATATATTTATTGGTATTTTTTTTAGTTTTTCTTTCTTGCAAATGATAGTTATTTTATTTTTTGAGAACTAAACACCAAATCTAGAGCCTCTATGATTGTAAAGATGAATTATCAATTAATTATATGTCATGGTTCAATAAAGTCCAGCTTAAAGAAGAGAATACATATTTTAAATAAAACATGAGTCCAATGAATAGCCTCATGAACTAATACTATATTGCCTTAGCTGTTTTGTGGGGAGATAAATAATGTTTGATCTCCTTCTATATATTTCAATTGAATTGATTATATCTTTAGTTGCAAAATTTATTCATATATATAAATTAACTTGATTAGAATATAGTTTTTTAAGGATTTATTTATTTATATATTATCATGAGTAATCTTTTTCAAAAATTTTAAATAAATTTATATTTATTCAAGTGGTCTTTAATGAATTGTAGTCAAGCTTCATAACGTGTCATAAGGTTTTCAAAAACACAATTTCTATTATATAAAGTCTTAATATCTTATCTCTTTGTAAGTCTTTGGCATCTTAAGTTTTAATATGAATTTCTTAAAGTGTAATTTTTTTATATGTTTGTAATATAATTACATAATCTTCTAAAAGAGAAGGTGTTAATATAGATAAAAATATTAAAATATAATTATTTTTTATATAATAAAAGAAATTAGATCTATTTTTAGATCTATTATAAGTTTATTATTTGATTCTTTTTTAGTAATTTTAAGGCTAAGTTATCTAATTTTGGTACATTTTTTATTTTTTATTTTTTATTTTTTATTTTATTATCTCAGAAAAGTCCTTTATATTGGAATTTCTTCATGTGATCTATTTGACTACAGCTTAAGACTATGAGCATTTTTTTTTTTTTTTTTTTTTTTTTTCTTTGAAGACAATTGATATGTACTATTGATGCTTCAATTTTCTCTAAATAGTAATATTGAAGATTTGAATACAAATTGATATAATTTTATAATAGTAATATTACTAGGTCTATGTTTTTTAGTTTATTATTATTTCTTTTTTTTACAAAATCATATGCAATATTACAAAATAAATTATAGTATTAAATATGTTTTAAGATTTAATTGTAAAAGAAGTAAGTTTGTAGTATTTCTAAGTATCTTATATATGCTTTGACTATTATTTTTAATAAATATTTAAAATTTTAATTATTTCCACATAAATATCTATTTTATAAGTAATTAAATAAAAGAATTTAGAAGAATGTAGTTTGAAAAGCTATTGTCTATCTTAATACAATATTTTATAATATAAGATTGGTAGACAATCTAAGATATCACAAAAAACTTATTAAGTCTTACAAAAATTCTAATTATATAGGTTTTGTTATATAAAAACTTCATTAAGTTAGAAAAAAATAAATGATCTTATAAATTAAGATATCTTGTAAATCTTCTATAAATATATATTTTTTATAGACTTACTTCTATTACAATATAATGGTTTATTTTTTTACTTTTTTAATTATATTTTGTAATCATTTTAATATATATATATATATATATATATATAGATATTTTTATTATAATTTTTCATGTAATAAGATTTCATATTTTTTAGAATTCATCATAATATTCTATTGTCTATTCAAAAGAAAGAAAAAAAAGTAAAATATATAAAACGTATGTATATATATATATATATATATATATATATATTAAACTACTACTTTATTTTATATATTTATATTTAAGAATCTTCTAAAATATACTATTTTTTTCTATAATTTGTTTACATTTTCATCTTTGAAGTGATACCATTTAAGTTTTATTTATGAAAGAAAAAAAAGTCAAAAAGTCACTAAGCATATTTAATATAATTCCAAAATTATATTATATTTAAAATTGATTGAATCGTTTTACATTATAAGCTATTTTATCTTGGTTTTAAAATTATATAAAATAAAATAAAAAATATAGCTATATTTCTATAAGTTTTTTATTTTGATTATTTTAGAAAATAATGAAATAATTATTGTTATTTAGATATAGACATCTTAAGAGAGATATTATCAAGGACAAGAACTCGATGAAAAAGTAATTCAGACAAGTGAGCCTTCACTCAAAGAAAGGTAACAAAATATAAATAAACAAGTATGTATATTGAAAGAGAAACTGGAATGGCTATTGCCAAAAGACAAGAAAATAGAGACCCTTGAAACTAGACTAGAAACAAGAAAGGAATTGACAAGAGTGAAGAAGGCTTCACTCTTGTCTCTATATATACTATCTAACTAGGGGCTATGTGGCGATATTCTATAGGACCTCCAATATGTGTTGACTTTGTAGGACACATGCCTTGACTTACAAGGCAAGTTTTTCTACGTGTGGGCCACATAATTAACTTGATCTTCAAGCTAACAACATGTGTGGCACATGGCCAACTTGTTAACCATTTTTTTAATCCAAAAATTCAATTAAAGACACCTATGAAGTCAAAGCAGCATCTATAAAGCTTCTAGGAAGCTTCCATATTAAATACTATAGAATTAACTTACTTTTACTTACTTTTACTTACTTCTACATACTTTTACTTACTTCCACCTATTTGTATATGTAATTTCTAGCTTACATGAGTATGTCCGTGACATTATCCTCCCTTCTAGGGACGAGTTCCACAAGGAGCGGTCATCATATGTTGAAGAAATCTATGATGTGACGAATTATATTCGCCACATACTCTAATCTTTGTTCTCTTCGAAGATGATTGATAGGGCCTCTCAACCATCGGTAGTGTCTCATACCAGGGCAAGAAGACCACCCAGTTATTTGATCATTGTTGGGGCCTTCATAACTTCCTTCGAATAGAATATTTGGAACACCATCAGGAGTTGTTCCTACTTCTAGCAAAATCACCAAACATCGAGAGTCCCTTCTCAAATCATGATATCTCGCCATCTATTTGAAGAAGAACATGTCATTCTTGAAGATCTTCATCTCGATTGCATCATCTTGAAGGTTGTGACAATCGTAATGTCTCGTCCGATAGGTCAGCAAATGAAGGCTCTTAAGTCGAATCTGCTGGTTGTTGGTTCTCCATCTCCTAAGCATCACAACTACAAAAAAACTACTAATAAGGATTGAAAGTAGAATGTTATCTTGCATAGATGTTGTTTCTTTTATAAAGAAGGTTTTCATCTTGATTTTGATGGATGTCTTTGATGAAAAGCCTCCACCGCCTTTGGTGAATTTGCAAGATTCTTTATTGGCTCCCATGTATATTTACTAATATCATATCCGTGCCAATGGATAACATATTCCAATTTATTTTGATGTCACCTTGAATCTAAGACTTCTTCTACTTCAAACTCTTCATTATTGTCCACTTCTATAGAAGAAGGTGGAGCTTGTCGTCTTCTTGGTATGTCTATTGTCTTGTATGATTCAAGAAGAGACACGTGAAATACTGGATAAATTTTCATTGACTCCAATAGATGTAAATGATATGCAACTGGATTGATTTGTGTAGAAATAGAAAATGGCCCAAGCATTCGATAGTCCAACTTGTCACAAGAACAAGTGGTCTTGATATTGCGACGAAGTAGCTATACCTTATCACCCAAGAAGAATGGTAGTTGATCCTTTCGATAGACATCCGCATTGATCTTTTGTTATTCTTGAACCTCTTTTAATTGCGCCTTCATCGTTGCATGTAGCTCTGATAAATGAATCGCCAAATCTTTCGCAGTAGGATTATCAACTTTTGAAAAGTCAAAAGTATCAAGTCGTGGATGATAACCATAATTAGCAAAGA